TGAGTGTAATAGCAAGCTTGTGTAGGCCAAATTCTGTAAGGCTGGTACTTGTATTCATGTATGTGTGTGCCTGCGTGCACTAAGGTGTTGGTGTGAACCGTGTATGCAAGCTGTAGGACCATTCCATTGTACTTTGTGATATAATAGTACTTGGTTGGGCGTGAGCCCGTAATATTGCGTGTCACTTATTTACTTGATAGCTTCCGCATGCGTATGTTTGTGACGTGCTTGCATAACCTCGATTAATACTTGTATGGGCGAGCGAACGATCGAGGGACGGTGAAAGGCTGACTGGTTCAAGGGGAATCAGGCCGCATAGGGTGCTAAGGAGCGAAAAATTTTAGCTCAAAAGAAGGCCCTGTGACAGCTATGCTCATGGTGTCGCATGACATGGGCATCTCATTGCCATGTACTTTCCCGCGCAAACAAAGCAAGGGTTTTTATATTTTCCCCAAAATCTCCAATAATAAATTCATTTTTCCATTAAAATATACTGCAATTATTTATATCCTTTCTAGTTGACTCATCAAATATCTCAAGCTTTTTCACCATTGTCCAATAAGAAACAGAGAAAAAATTGGCGAGAAGGTAAAAAAACTTGGTCGCATCCCAATTGCAGAAGGATAATTAGCTGTAAAAGAGTTTGCTTGAGGAGATTGGTGATTAAATCTATCAGGTACGGCTGCAAAGCTCGAAGCTTTGGGCATTCTTTGGCTGGGATGTTTAACCAGCTGCATCACTTTGCTCTGTTGGGGTCTCAAAAATTTTTCCCCTAATTCTTTTTCATCTGAAATTTTGATACTTTGTTTGATTTGATGTTTTTTTTTTGGAATTTTGGCTATTTTTCAGCTGGATTTGTGTGTCATCATACCTGATCCAATTTCTCTTTTCTTGCCCTTTTAACATGTTTTGGTCTAGGGTTTGATTATTATGATTTTTCTCGTTGTCGTTGGATAGGCGCGCGATATTTGGAATTCGGAGTTTTATTAATTGGGTTTACTTTAGTTTTGGAAAATTGTATGAAAACATAGGATTTTTCAGCTGAGGTTTTCGGTGAACCAGTCAAATTCCTTCTATTTATGTGTGCTACATTACTAGGGTTTGCTGTTTTTTGTGTATAATCTCTTTTGTTATTTTCTTTTTGTTGTTTTCTGTCCGATCTGTGGATCGAGCAGATCGGAGATCTGAAACGCATAGCTGAACTTAAGAAGATGTCTAGCTCTTCCCGCCAGGGAGATGGACTTGAAACTACCATTGACGCTCATTTTGCTTATTTTTGCAAGGTTTCTCTATTATTCTCGTCTCTATGCGCACAACACACAAACACACTTGAGTTTTTCTGGTCTTTTCTGGTTTTTTTTGTCCTGTGTTATTCTATTGTTTCTTTTCATTTTTATTTTATTCTTCTTTTTCTTCTGTTATCATTGCTTGCTTGTCTTCCTCTTATTTGAACTTTTCGAATTAATCAGTTGAAAAGTTCCATTACTTCAAAGATTTAACATTTGACTAGCAACTAGTTGTTATTGTCAGTTTTATTAATTTTTTTTGAATAATTTGCCTTGCCACATTATCTCAGAATGATCTACTGTTGGATGATGACATTTTCTTGGCGCAAGCAACCAAGCTACTTGATGAAAGCAAGAATATTCTGTTGGCCAATATATCTGCTCTTGGAACTGGAAATGTGCGTATTTATGCTTCAGCGAGTTCTATCTTTTCTGCGATTTTCTATCTTCCCACGGCCTCTCGTTTTGTCTTTATGTTATATTCATTTAATGTACAGATAGATATTCTTTTATTTTAATTTGTCAATAATTCTTATAACTTTATTGTGTTATCAGCCGGATGAAGCAGAAAAGTATTGGTTTGCATTTATTCTTTACTTAGTCAGAAGGCTTAATCTGAATGGTGGCCTCATAAAGAAAAGACTTACACTATGTCAAATTTTGAGAGCAGCTAGACTCAAGTATTTTTCCACTTCTAAATTCATTTTACATCAATTTAATATTTCAGTGCATTTGAAATTATTTACCATCTTGTAATTAATCTTCCCTGCAGCATTGTTGAATTTTATAAAGAGCTTAATCAGTTTCTGCTCAAGGTTGAATCGGTTTTAGGCAACCTTTATGGTGAGGATTGGGAGAAGAGACTGGAGGTATATGATAGATTCAACAGTGATTGTCATATATAGCAAGACGAGTTATTCTTAAGCATGTTTTATTATGTACATTCTTATTTCATCAAATATTTATCCCACACTCGTACTTTTTCTCAACAGGCAAAGGAATCACAAACCAACTTTATGCACGTGACCCTGTTGAGCCAGTAAGTTTAAGCTTCATTGTCTTGCATTTCCATAGTTTCAGCTAGTGATTACTATTCATAATAACTAAAATTATGTTCTTGAGATTCTATATAGGCATCATTATCACTCATAGATGGTCCAGATTATTTCTGTTGGCATGTTCAGACTGTTCCCCTGATTTTAGGTCGTCCGATTAATCGCGATTAATTGCGATTAATCGTCCTGGTCGCTCCCAAGTGCTCGATTAGAAGGTCCGACCCGACCAGCTCGACCAGAAACCTGGTCGTCCGATTAATCGTCGATTAATCGCGATTAATCGTCCGACCAGGGCATATGGACGACCAGGACATATATTTGTCTTTTTGGGCTGGTATGTGGGCTGCTGGGCTTGGCCTGTTTGGCCTGTTAGGGTTAGGATATATATAGGAAGGAGGCAGCCCGATTAATCTAGCTGGTCCACGATTAATCACGATTAATCGTCTGGTCGGTCCGTGGTCGACCAGGTTCGACCAGCCGACCTGAAAACATTGGACTGTTCTTGCATTTATCCTAATATTTTTGTGTATTCCTTATAGCAATGTACAGTGTGTTCCTGACACTTGATTTTCTGATTGTGCATTTTTTGTTGACTGTGTCTTTCAATTTGAATTATTAACAGACATAATAAATAAGCTCTTGCTATTTCAGTCTTCACCTCTCAAGAGTATTGCTGGAGCGTGTTTTTCTGCAAAAATATTTCTCAATCAAATTTCAGTATTGGATTTTGCGTTCAGATAGAGCAATTTCATGGTTATGTTCTGTACTATATGGGGTTGCTGGCGACTTGCGTGAATACAAGAAAATTGTTACTTTATTTGTTTATTCCAGTGGTCAATCATAACCAGAAGTTAATTTCATTTATACACAATGGTAAAGAGGAAATGTCGTAATGCATGTGGTCACAGACGCCAATATTTTCATTGTTTAAGTTGTTAATTTGATCTGATGCTGAAGCTGCATTTTTAACTTTCGATATAGTTTTAATGTCTTCTTGCTGCTTTCCTTACCAGGAAATATGAGCGTGCGTATCGGGATCTGTTCATCATAGTCGATGCGAATAATGACAAGCCTTTAAATAATGCTAGTGCCTCTGGCATCCGGTCAGATTATTACCGTTTGGGATGGTTGCTGTTTCTAGCTCTTCGTGTACATGTGTTTCGCTTCTGCAAGGACTTAGTAACATGCACTCATGGTCTAGTTTCCATATTGGTCAGTGATTTTTATGCTATCAGTTTTTGACTAAATGGTGTTTCTTTATTTTTTTAGATAGAACTAGAAACTCTCAGGAAAAATTATGCATGCATCTTTTGACATAGAACAGTGCAAAACTGATTGTTCATGTACTTCTCTTGGCAGGCGATACTCCTAATTCATGTTCCTGCTCGCTTATGAAACTTTAATGTGAACGATCCTGAACGCATTGGTAAGTCTTGCTTCATGGTATATTTCTCTCTCTCTCTCATGAGAAAAAGGTCTGGCCATTTTATTCTACCTTTGACACATCATCTATTTATTTGATTCACATTTATATTTTTTTTTTCCAGTTTTGAAAGGTGAGAAGGCTGACTTGCTGGCATCCCTTTGCAATATGTACGAGACTTCAGAAGATGAGTTGAGGAAAACTTTGGGGAAAGCAAACGATTTAGTATCTGAAATATTGAAGAAGAAACATTGCCTAGCTTCTGATTCTAACCATGAAAATTTGAAAAATATCTTGTCTGGTTAGTCCTAAGTTTGAAGTATGTAATATAGTTTCATCGTAGCATACTGGTCATTGGTGCTTATTATCAATATCGTGCTCTTTTGCAGATGGCTTGATCTATTTTGAAGATTTGATGGATGAAGCATCATTACCGTCCAGTATAATTTTGCTTGAGGAAGATTACACCGCTGCTATTCAGACAAACGGTGACTTGGATGAGAGGATATTTATCAATGAGAATGACAGCTTGCTTGGTTCAGGGAGCTTATCAGGAGGTGCTGTAAAGATAGTTGGAACTGGAGCAAAGGTTTGTTTTCAAAAGCCATAAACTATTGACGAAATTTTAGAATTCATGCTCATCTTGTGCTTACAATTCAGAGGAAACTCGACACATTCACCTCTCCGGCGAAGACAACTGTTACAAGTAGCCCATTGTCTCCTTACTGCTCTCCTTTACGTCTCTCAAATGGCGGCATTGCAGCCACTCCTGTCAGCACGACCATGACTACTGCAAAATGGCTCCGAACAGTTATTGCTCCATTGCCTTGTAACCCTTCGGCCGAGCTGAAAAGATATCTCTCGTCATGCGACCGGGATGTAACTGCTGATGTGATGAGGAGGGCTCAAATAATGCTCGAGGCCATCTTTCCAAGCAGCGGGGCAGGGAAAAATGCAAGCTTGATGGAAAACATATGGGCCGAACAACGTCGAATGGAGGCAATGAAGCTTTACTTCAGGGTTCTGCAGGCAATTTGCACAGCGGAGTCACAGATTTTGAACGGAAACAATTTAACGTCTTTGCTAACAAACGAGAGGTTTCACAGGTGTATGCTCGCTTGTTCTGTCGAGCTTGTTCTCGCAACACACAAAACTGTGACGATGTTGTTTCCAACTGTCTTGGAGAGGACATGGATAACTTCTTTTGATCTCAGTAAGGTGATTGAAAGCTTCATTAGGCATGAGGAGAGTCTTCCAAGGGAACTTAGGAGGCACATGAATTCTCTAGAAGAACGACTTTTGGAGAGCATGGTTTGGGAAAAAGGATCTTCCATGTACAACTCCTTGACGGTAGCTAGACCAGCCCTTTCTGCCGAGATAAGTCGAAATGGCTTGTTAGCTGACCCTATGCCGTCTTTGGATGCAATCGCTTTGCATGTTGAATTGTCATGTGGGGTCTTACCTCCCACGCAACCTTGCTGAAACAAGAACTACATGGTAACAAATTATTTTGTCTTTGCCATTTTCCAAATTATGGCAAAGGTTGTTGCCCTTTTAAGTAATAATCAAGTCTGAGCATGTTTGAGGTTCTGATATGTAGTTTGTTTGGACTGTGTGTACACTCTTTTGGCAAGTAATAATTACTTCACACTGACGCTTGAAATAATACTTTCAGGTCAGAATGGAGATATCCGCTCCCCAAAAAGAGTTTGCAATGAGCTTCGGAGTGTATTGGTGGAGCGGAATTCTTTCACTTCACCAGTGAAGGATCGCCGTCTGTCCATGAATAATCTGAAACCTAAGCTTCCCCGCACCTGTTTTGCAGTCTGCATTTGCCAGGTATTTGCTCTTGTAGCTCAGGAGCAGGAAGGTCTATATATTTTTTTGCTGTCGAGAGTTTCTTTTATTCTGTCCTCCTGTTTAGTATATTTTTCTATTTGTTTCAGTCCCACGAGGCCAAATCCAAGTGGTGGAGGGGAAACATGTGTAGAAACAGCTGTCAGTGTCTTTTTCAGTAAGGTATATGGTGAATCAACTGTTGGTTGTTTTTATGTAATAGATATAATACAGTTCTGGGTAGGGTTCAAAATATTATTTGGTCAAAGTATGCCAGTGTAGATGTGTAAATGTTTTGTCAAAATTATATCTGTTGTTTCTAGTTAATAAGATCTGAATTTTTATTTGCTCGAGTGGGGCTGTGGACTTTTCCCCCATGATTCAATGGCTTTTTGGTTATCTTTTTTCTGGATTATGTACAATAATCTTGCCCATCAGCCACTGTGCAAGTTGGTATCATTGAACTAAACTCTATTCTAACTACTAAGACCAACTTTCCAAGGATGATGAATCATTTGTTGCCCAGTTTATTGTAATACGGAACCTTTTAATATTGTATTTATCTTGCTGCACAGCATGATAATGCATCCTGTTTTTATCTGTTTGTTGGGCTTATTGACGTATTTTTATTTCTGTTAGATTTTGAAGTTAGCTGCTGTAAGAATTAATGGAATGGTTGAAAGACTTCAGCTTTCCCAGCATATCCGAGAGACTGTCTACTGTCTCTTCCAAAAGGTCCTTGGCCAGCGCACAACTCTATTCTTCAACCGACACATCGACCAAATTATCCTCTGCTGCTTTTATGGAGTTGCTAAGGTCTCTGCTTTAAGCCTCTTCCTGATTTACAGTCGACATTTGCCTTCTCAACTTTTCTCTAACAATGATTTATGTGCTGCAGATTTCCCAACTGAGCCTGACATTCAAAGAAATAATTTTCAATTATAGAAAACAACCTCACTGCAAGCCACAAGTTTTTCGCAGCATCTATATTGGTTGGACAGCTTCTCGTCGGAATGGGGTATATTATTTATCCTTTGCCTTTTTTGCTTTGGTACTGTATTGGTAGAGTCTTAATCATTTGATATCTATGAAACAGAAATCTGGTCCAGATCACGTTGATATCATCACATTTTACAATGAAGTATTTGTTCCTGCCGTAAAACCTCTTCTTGTTGAGCTCGGACCTGGTGGATCGGTACACAGTAATTCTCATGCCCCAGAGGCGAGCGGTAACATTGATGGTTAGTATTCTTAGTCGACCTACTTTTTTAGCCTGGTTTATGTTTTGATGCTGTGCATGTGTTCATCTTAAATCATTATTGTTGATTTCACTAAATAGACGCATGTCCAGCATCACCTAGAACATCCTTATTTCCGAGTCTCCCAGACATGTCCCCGAAGAAAGTGTCTGCTGTACATAATGTTTATGTCTCTCCTTTGCGATCATCTAAGGTATGAATTGTTTCCTCTCTCTCTCTCTCTCTCTCTCTCTCTCTCTCTCTCTCTCTCTCCACATTTGATGCCTATTGCTAGTGGTTAGAGTAGTATGCCTACTGCAATCAATTATAAGGAAGCAATGTTTCATCATCCCTTGAATTGATTGTATTTGGAACATTTGCTCGTGCTTCTTATGATAGTTACTCAATCTATCTACGAATGTTTCAATATCAACGCGTTTCTTTCAAAGAGAATGCTTGTTATTGAGCATGAACATTAATAATTAGCTTATGGCATTTACAGATGGATGCATTAATTTCACATAGCTCCAAAAGCTACTACGCATGTGTGGGAGAAAGTACGCATGCATATCAGACCCCTTCGAAAGATTTGACCGCAATCAATAACCGTTTGAACGGGTAAAGCTGTAAAAACGCTAATAACAAATTCTTCTACTGATCACAACTTGTGCATATAATGTTGATGACAACACTTTGTTTGTCAGAAATCGGAAGCTGAGAGGAAGCCTCAATTTCGATGATGTTGATGTTGGATTAGTCACAGACTCTATGGTTGCCAACAGTCTTTACATCCAAAATGGAAGTTCATCTTCGCATATGCTCCCTGTAAAATCCGAGCAACCGGACTCGTGATTTATATATACATACACACAGCTAAAATTCCTAATGCTTATGTAGATATATATATCTGTGGCTTTTATTTATCTTAATTTTCCGGTGATGAAATTATTTTTTATTTAGTTTTTGTAGATTACAGTTTAGGGTGATGCCTTTGGGTTATGATAATGAGCGGTGAGTTATTATAGTAATGGCCCGCCACTAACCACAGGTGTAGTAGTATACATGACATGTAACTCTGGATCTATTAGCTTAACTATTTACTAACTGAGTCTGTAATAAAACGTGCAACTTGATGTTTAATGTTGGCTTGTTTTCAATTAGTAAAAATGAAATGGACAAAAATGGGATTTTTGTAAGTAATATTAAGGCATTGTTTTTAAGGTGTTTTTTGTATAGCTAAAAGGGAATTTTGGTTGAGCGCCTATCAAGTAATAATGCGTAATTTTATTCACGATAACATAATAGAGATGGAAAAAAAAAGTAGGAAATTTCTCTAGCATGATCTCTTCATAGCATAATAAACAGAAAAAAAAAATAAAAAACTAATAGTCGATACTAAAATAAAATAAATCTATTACCCTCTTATATGCTACACCCTAGCTAATATAAAATGGTAATAGAAGAAGTAAAGTTGGCTAAAATTCAACCATCATCTTAAGAAGAAGCTTATCTTTTTTGGTTATACATATTTCTCTTTTTTTTTTTTTCTTGTCTTATATTTATTTTGAATAATAGTATTATAAATATATTTTAGCCTAAATTTGTTATTTTTAACAGTGATGATGTACTTACTTTTTTCCATAAAACTAAAACGAAAATTTGCTTTAACTTGAAATATTGACATTGCAATTTGGAAAAATCTTATTATTACATAATTATTACATATAATATAATTTAAAATCAACATTTTTTGGTTATTACGCCGAGATAAGAACACGAATAGCGTTAAGGGGCTGTTGTGCAATTTCAAATTAGTGGAGGAGGTTTTTTGGAAAATACACCACCTATCGTTATCGTTTGTTTATACTTGCTCACAGCCGTACAACAGTAAGTCAGAATTTTACTTGCGCTTTAGCTGTGCTCAGTTGTGCCTTTGCCATTGTTGACGAGTGAGAGCAGCAGCAGCAGCAGCAGACACTCTTCACACTTCTTCCATTGTTGACAAGTGAGCTCGGTTCAGTTTTCCCACATTCTAACTATCTCGAAAGGATCCCTTTCTTATCTCGATTCAATCTTCACTGCGTTTCAATTGTTTGCCTTTTCGTTTCAATTCGGTTTTTCAGTCGTCATTTGTTTTTTCAAGTTTTTTCTGTCGAGATTTGCCTGATCTATTGTATAATACTTCACGGGGAATTTTTTTGTCCAGTTGATTTGCCTCTTATTGATCTTAGTATACTTGATTCTACCTTTTCATACCCTGCGATTTCTGTGAATTTAGATACTTTTCGTCTAGTTCAACATATCTTTCTAACTTATTCTATTCGAGTACTGTGTTGTGTGCCGTACTAATGCATCACTTGTGATTTGTAGTATGTTATAAAAAGATCATCTGTGAAATGAAGTCTGATGTGGTGTGTATAGGAATCGTCTAGAATTTTCCTCCACTAATGATTCTTGATACGTCAAGAAGATGGTTTGAGAAGAAGTAAGCCGCATATGGTCAAATTTATGCTCAGATCATCATTAAGTGTTTTATTGCTACAGTGCTAAACTTTACTGACTGAGGGATGATGAATTTTATGAAGAATAGTGATTGAGTACTTTTGGAATTGTATAAATGTCATTAGATGAAAAAGAAGATGACAAGTAAACTCTATTTATAATCACATCACATCACCTCGTTTTTATTTACCGTTTCTGGTGACAACGCCTATATTTCGGTCCAATATTGTGCCTGAGTGACTGAGCCACTTAATTCTTTATATTTAGCAGACTGGTCTTGAAATCTTTGGCTTGCTTCCCCACTCTTTCAAGCACAAGAAGGTAGGCTCCACAGCCTCCACTTGATTGACCACGTTTTTGTTCTGACCGGGGCCCCACTTTAATCTAATATAAGCTGTACCTCCTCAGTTCCATCAGGATAGAGTATAGTGTTCCTGGAGCCTAGCGCTCCTTAAAACACTAATGAGTTGGAATATTTTATTAGATTTTCACCAATCTCCATCTGGAATTAACAGGTCAAAGTAATCTGCTATACTCTTCGGGATCAAACATCAATTGCAATGAATCAGTAAATGACTACTTGCAATACAATAGATGAACGGTTCCCTCCTAAAATGGTGTAGGAAGTTTTCTCGTACGGCTTGAGATTTTTTTTTTTTTTTTTTTTTTTTNTTTTTTCTATCTGAAGTTTGGTCTATGTATGGAATTCTAGTAAACCCTTAACAAATGGGCCTATAAATCAATGATAACATCTAATTTCGACCTTCAATAAACGTTACTGTCTCCGCCAGTGTAACATAGTAAAGAGAGGAACTTAATGAAGGACCGGAAATTCTCTTTAAACACAGCAGGAAAGATGCAGAATCAGGATCGGAATGCGTTGGAGTCTGAGAAGGAAACCATATCATCCATACAAACATCCGAAACTGATGTCTGGGCTAGTTTCAGGGATGATGACATTATGCAGCAGCAATCTGCCATGCTGGCTGACGAAGCTGGGAAG